TTCGAATATGATGCTTTTCAATTTTTAGAATATCTTAATTAAAGAAATTATGAATAATAAAATTAAAAAAAATTAGGGTTAAAAAAACCAATAATTAAAATATGAAAAAATATAATATATATAGAAATAAAATGAATATTATTTTTAATATTCTATGGATAAGATTATTCATAAATTATTTAATATCTTATCTAGAGAATATTTCTTATATTATATAATTAATGATATTATATATTAGTTCATCCATTATTTCTTTTATTTGCCCTACTATGATTAATAAATTTATTTTTAAAGGTGTTCTTTCTAAATTTATCTTTGTAAGACCATGCTATCAAGCAATATTTCAAATCCCCAAATCTAGGCTAAATTTTCTAAATCATCGTACCAAATCTCTCTCAATATATCTCCTAAATTTATCTTCCTAGACCTATCTCATCAAATTCGAACCTTCTAGGATCATCCTATCAAATCTATAGCTTTTCTATTATTCTATATATCTATTTTATAAATAGAAAATTTAAATTTCTATGCTTCAATTATCTGAAGATAATTAATATATATATAATAAAAAAAATATAAAAATATATAAAATAATATACTCTTACTTTAAAGAAAATATATGTTCGACCAAAAATAGAAATTATTTCCATATCTTATAAATAATAATATAAATATATTTTTCGATAAATATAAAAAATTCAATAAAATATAATCTAACTCTTTCCCGAAATCATATATTCTAATTAAAATGAAATTCGAGAATTTATTCAATATTATCATATAGCATAATTTATTCGATTCATTTTCTATATATTAATTAAGATAAATTCAAAAATTAAATGAGCAATATGCTTCGATATCAATCTAATAATATCACTTTTAATTTTCCAAGAAAAAATTCTTTATTATTTAGATGAAATCCTAATTCTTGCCACAGCCATTCTAAGTAGAGCAAGGACATCAATAAATCAGCAAGAGCTATCCAATATGAATTTTAATAGTAGGTTTTCAATACTGAGTAACAGTCAATAAAAAGTAAGATAGATCTAATATTGCAATAGCTCTGGATTATTCATATATAACTCAGAAAAATTGGTATAAGCTGCTTATTGAACGAATTCTTGAATATGTGTATCTGCAAAAATCCTTTTTCCATCTGCTAAGATATCCCGCGACAGATCCACGATCTTCAAATCCTGGCAGGAAACTGCTCGAGTTGGGTTAGACTTGACGACTCTGATGCAGCACTCAGTGCACAACCCTACACGTAAACCCAGCCTGAGTACCCGCAGTGTGTGGCGGTAGTTGTGGATGGGAGCGGCACTGATCATGGTCGTTCTGCGAATCTTGTACCAACATCTGACTCAAATTTACTGAAGTCCTCCCCAACTCATCTGCAGTCCGGGATGCTGCAAGGCAGAAATCACAGTTCTGAGGTACTCCTTTAAAATGTGGCGTATGCTTGGGCTGCTTGGGGTTTTTGCACGTGTGATCACCTTGATCGCTGACCAACGTAATCCGTGAGCAAGCAACAGTGCTTGCCGTGGCTGGCTTTGCTATGCGAGAGCTAAACACGATCTGCACCCTTCTTCGGCCCGAGGCTAACTTGTTGACCTGCCCGTCCTCGAGACCAGCAAGCCAAAAGCCGAGCAAGGCTTCCGCCACCTGGCATCCAAGACAGCTTCCTATCTCTGCACCACTCTTTAATCTAGATGTGGGCCCAGCAGGTTTCTGTGAGACTGCTGGAAAGCGCAGACCCGCTCGGACTCGAAGTAGCACCTCTCCTCTCATCTTCAGGTCGTCGATGTTGTCAACAACCTGATTTGTTGCAGCGTCGCGTAGGAAACATTTTTCCCGTTGGGAGGGGAGGAAGCTGAAGAAGGGAGCAAACGCTTGAGGACCAAAGCCAAACTTACCACGCCCGGAGCACGCCGAGGAGTCTAATCCGAAGAGAACTCCGAAGAGTCACCAACGATGGGGCAATGGAACAAGGCTCCAAACTCCACAAAACGTCTTGGCTCCTCGAGCTGTGCCGTTCCGAGTCATTCTTGAACCCCGTTCAGACTAGAGCATAAACGCTCAGTCGAGAAGCGTGGAGCACGTCAAAAAAGTCCCTAAATCAGAGCATGCAGGAAGTTCACGAGCCGTAGCCGTGGCAAACCGAGCTCCAGGCAAACTCCAAGGGCCTGCGTCCTTGGTCGGCTTGCAGCCCACTGGGTGAGTGTCTTCATACGATCTTCCAAATGAAAACCATATACAAGCACGTGTACATATATATGATATATATATATATATATGTGTGTGTGTGTGTGTTTTTACTTACTGATTATCTGATCAATTATCATACGGCTTCACATCGCACTATACTTTGAGACATACCGTTGGTTACATGCCCTCCCTCCCTCCCTCCCTCCCTCCCTCCCTCCCTCCCTCCCTGCTCAATACTTGTTGCCTATGCATAAGAGCACGCTGGAAGGACGGTGTCATGCGCATAAACGTGCATTACAGGTGGCATTGCGTCTCCGCTCACTGTCACGACACTGTCTTTGTTGGAACGTGTCCCATGTTTCCTAGAAGCACGAGACCCTCGCGTGCGCCTGTTGATCTGAGGACCTCACCGAGGGCCCAGGCTGCAGAGAGCGGGAAGGGGGGCGCGAACGCCTTTGCACTTTGCAGCCCTTGCATTGCAGATCGCTGCTATGAGGGAACCTGATGTAAAACAACATGGGAACATTTACATACACACATTGTGGAGTTGGACGTTTGTGGTTTGCAATTCAAGCAGAGAATGTGGTTGCCAAACCGTGGTTGGGCTGCTGCAGCTTTTTCCTTTTCGGGCCTATGCCTGTTTAATGGCACCATGCCCATCAAGCTCGGCTAAGGATTTCTGGTTCCCTGTTTGACCGTCATGGCTCTCCCCTTCACCGCGCCAGGCTGCGGCGTGAACGGCGAGCTTCTGAAGCCTGATAGGTGTAAGCCTGTGTAGTTACTGAGTAGGAGTTTGGAGAAAACCTTCCGTCCGATGTAGCTGCTCTAGACTCTAGGTATTCCGAAGCTCTGATCCAGTAAACCCTGCGGTCCCGAATGAGATTGTTCAAGATGCAAACCTGGGGCGGTGTCGAGTGCCAATAGTCTTAGCGGTAACATGCACTCCCGAGCACCGCACCGTTCCGTAGTAGAGAACTGACTCAGAGCCTCATTGAACTCCACTGAGACGCATGGTCGGTAAGGCTTCGGCTCCTCAGGATGAGATGACGACAGTGTGCACCAGGAGACGGGGCTTCTTGCTTGTTGAGTGGTGAAGCGGATGTCAGCTCGGGCGCCCGTGCCGGCGGCGCGCGCGGCCGACGTGCAGTCGAGCAGTTGGGCCTCGTCGCAGCCGCCTGGGCGGGGCTTTTGCCTGAAAGATTCGGTGACTCAGGGACAAGAAGAAGTTTAGGTCTGATGCAGCTCATATGCCAGGACGAGCTCAGGCATGTGTGTTCGGAGGGATGCTCATGAATCGACCGCGCAGAGGCTACACAAGTTCCGAGCTCCAGGCTGCTGTTGCAGCACCTCACAGCAAAAGCGTTGAGAGATAGGGACAGTGGTTTTGTGCAACTGTAGACGTCCAGATGTCTTCTTGCTGGTGGTTGGGGCATGCTGTGTCCACGACAGAGGCTTCTAGCTTTGCTCAAGTACGGTGCAGCCCAGACGCTCGCTCGCAACCCGCAGACAGCCGCGAAAATCCATGCCTGCTGGGCATGCAGCTTGCAGAGGCCGTGTTACACTCCGAGTTGTTGCCAACAAGGACTGCGACACATCGCACCGACACAAAACTCCGGCATGCGCCTGACATGGAGACTCGTATCATCTCCTGGCCTCAGGTTGGAAGGTTTCTGCAAACAGCAAAGCTGAGCTGCTTCCACCCTTCATCCGCCGGCTCAGGATGAAGGCACTTCTACAAAGATTAGCTGGTAACAAGCAACAAGCGCCTCACAGGGTGCAAAGCTGCCGACGCCCTGTGTGCAAAAAGGCAGGAGTGCAAAGCGCCTTCCGTCTAGCCTGCATCTGTGCACGCCTCCTAATTGCAGCTGATCTTTGAGTCGCAGGCAAAACCGCTCGGCGGCCACAGGCACGGGGCAGGTTTCGCAAGCCTGCAAGGCAAGTAGATGATTCTCAAGGAAGCATGTGCGCATTTGTCCGTAGCATCGGCGTTGCTCAGATTAGGGTTTCTGATAGTTCTTCTGAGTAAGACTTCATTAAAATGAAAAGCATGTTCTACGGAACCGCCGAGGAAAACAAATGCTACAAGTCAAAGCAGTGCCCACGGTGGCCGGGGCTTTTACGACTGCACTTGTAGGTTCCAGTTCCAGAACCTGGGGAATTGGCGGCTTGCCCAGAAGATTCGGAGCTTTGACGGGTCCTTGCCACAAGTCTTAAAATGGATGTAAATCTTGAGGTTTCAAACCGTCATGCACCTTCGAGTTTGGTTGCAGCAAGCTGTCGCGTCCGAAGTGACAGAAGGTGCGACAGGAGCCCAAACCCCAAACAGAAAAAACACGACTCAATTACAACGTATCTTCAAGCACGGCTTAGCTTGAAATGCTTCGACAACCATGAATCGCGAGCCGTGATCGGCTTTGCAAGCGGATAGTCTTCAGCATACCAAGATGCTGGAGGCCTCAACTCGTTTGTTTCCGGAGCCCAGGATGCGCAATGCGCCACTTGAGCTTTTTCCGAAGGGTTACTGCTGCTGGGTCGTACAATAGGTCGCTGAAGATCAGGTAACTTGCCGGGTGCAGGGGCAATGGCCGTTTGTGCAAGAAAAAGTTGTCAAGCCCACGTGTGTGCAACCGCAGGAACCTCGTCAGCAGTGCTACTGCGCACAGACACGGGAAAATCTTCAACGATCCAGCCCAACCTCAGTGTCAAAGGATTGTGCAGCGCCGCTTTCTTTCTACGGAAAACAGCGTATGTCCCGCAATGTCCAGCTTCCACATATGTATAGATACGGGTACACTTGTGTTGTAGTCTCCTGCCTAGTACAGTGGAGACACTCGTACTTTGTCGCGCCGGGCTGTATTGTAAATATCAAGTTCAAGTGGATGGCTACGCACTCTGTCGTCACATGTCACATGCACTTGTAGGGCATACTGCCACATCCTGTACGGTAATGTGAGACTTTACGGGGTTATGTAGCACTGCAAACGGTGCACGGTCATTTTCTTCCACAGTGATGTCCAAACTGCAACTGCTGCAGAATAGCAAAGCTTGATTTGATAGCAACGTTGGTCATGCTGGCGACATACATACATATATATATATATATATATGTATGTGTGCATATGTATGTATGTATGTATGTATGTATGTATGTATGTATATACACGTATACGTATAATGTAATAATTCGTTCGCACGCGCATGCAGACTCAAAACCGACACCCTGCCACCCCCTCCCCGCCCCCCGAAACCCAAATGCCTCTGCCTTAAACCCCCGAGACCATGTTCGCAAGCAGCATGCTCAGATTCACACGAGGCCCCGACAGCAGCGACTCGTCTGCGTGCTCCAACACCTCACGAATGTGTACCCATAAACACACTGCTCGCGCTCTGTCTCTTCTGCCACACTGCCAAGAAGGGGGAGTGTCCGCCCTAGTCTCAGAAGTCTGTGCGTGTGATTCATCGGGGTGGAGGTCTGTCTCTCTCTCTCTCTCT